ATGACGAGGACTATCAGGTACCACAGCTTCCCATGCATTTAGCATAGCTGAACAGTCCAAATTCTCAGAGTGGAACAAACCTGCTAGAGCCTGCATTAATTTTTCCTCACTCCTTTGCTGGCTTCACATGCCAGGCTTAAAGGAGTATGTTATCCTTAAAAGCTAAGCTTAGCATGTACTGTCCTCACAGTTAATCTTCAGCCCACTGGTAATTTTGTTCCTTGCAGTATACTGAAGTGGAAAGGACAGTGGTAATGGCTGTGGTTTGCAGCACGGCTAAAGATGTGCCATAAAGTAAGATGCGATTGGGAGGGAGGTTTGTAACGTGGGAACTGATTCTTTCTGGTACCTGTGTCTGAGGAGGGATGACACTGTCTTTTTTGGGCAATGTACAGGTCATTAGGCCTTGAATCTCCTGGTCGTGTTGCTGACCTTTTTGTCCTGTTTGTGAACCCTAGCAAAAGCGCAAAGGAGTGGAAGGCTTAATAGACATAGAGAATCCCAACCGCGTTCTGCAGACAACCAAAAAAGTGACTCAGTTGGACCTGGATGGCCCCAAGGAACTGTCACGGCGAGAGCGGTAAGAGCCCTCCTCTTGCCACCTGCCCAAGGTGCGTGGGGTTTGCCCCCAAACGCCCCACAGTAGTAGCGTGTTCTGTCACCAATGAACAGACTTCTCCTGGGGTGAAACTGGCATCTCAGCAGTCTTTGAATTGTGCCCAGGAAAAGTCTCCATGGGTGTGAAGATCAGGGCACCCTTTGAATGGAGATTTCGCTGGCTAGACCACTTAGCTGAGATGAGATCTCCTTACCCAGGCAGCAGCTGCAAAAGTATAGCTCCGCAGCTTGGTGAAATGGGATGAGACAGCAGTCTGATCCCTCTGGGGCTGTTCTGTACTTTGGCATCAGGCTTCTAGAAGGCCAGTAATGGACACTACTGATCTCTGTGCATTAAGTGTGAAACCATCATGCCTGGGAGCTATCCGTTAGGTCTTGGTGCATCAGGAGCCTTAGAATTGCTAGGAGGTGTTTTCTAGATTCCTGGTGTCAGTGCAGATTTTCTCCCTCTCTACTCTATTGCCATGTAACTAGTGCCTGTCTTTCGAAAGAGCAGGTTAAGTCTGCGATTTGGTAGACTCCTTAAGGTGGGCGGTGAGGTGAAGCTTGGAGGTAAGAGTAAACTGACAAGGAGGTGCTGCACTCAGATATGAGGCAACTGTCCTGTGATCTTGGGCTAAATCACTCCATCCTTGTATGCTAGTGTTCCCATTTTGCCAAATGGCAATAGACATGATCCCTGTCTTTGGGCTGCTGGGAAGCAGTTGGATGGGGAGAAGCCTGTGTGTAAAATGAGCTTCTCTCACTTAAGCATCCAGTATATCACATAGTTTTCCAAGATGGAGATTGCATTTGGTGCAGTTTCCCACAGGCCCTGCAGCTGCCTGGGAAGGGATTTAAATGTTCTTTTTATCTCCATCCTCCTCAATCTGTCAGCTTGTTCGTACAGTGAACAGGAACAGAGATCTTGTGCTCCAAGATCAGAGCTGGTGTCTGGGATCCAGTGTCTGGGATCCAGTGCCAGAGGCTGCTGCTGCAGATCATGCCTTGTCCTGGTTCCTGCTCCAACCTTCCCCCCCAATCTCTAACCTTGCCCATATGTTTACATGGAAACCAGGATGACCAGCATCTTTCACTCCAACAGGGAAGAGATAGAGAAGCAAAAGGCAAAAGAAAGATACATGAAGATGCATCTAGCTGGTAAAACAGAGCAGGCAAAGGCAGATCTCGCACGACTAGCCATCATCCGGAAGCAGAGGGAAGAAGCTGCCAGAAAGAAAGAGGAAGAAAGAAAAGGTGAGTAGTGCAGTGCCTCCCAGTATCCATCCCCCTGCAGCTGAATATCCTCCCTGAGCTGTGAACTTTACCTCCAGCTGGGCCGACACAGTGTTCTCTCTCTGCCCTAAACACGTGGTGTTCCTATGGGCCATCAGACAGCTCTTCCATTCAACCCTGGACTCAGCTGCATTTCACTTTGCCCCCACAAGCTGCTATTGCTGCTTTATAAAGTGCTGGCTTAGTTAGGCAGGCAGCAGGCAAACTTAAAAAGTTGTTGCCTTGCGTATCTGCAGCATTTTCAGCCTGCCATACAACGGCAGTTCTTCCCGCCCCCCTGGGGTTTTCACACCCATTGCACAAGTCTTATAGAGCAGCGGTTCACCACCCCATGGGTCATGACCCAAAAGTGGGTCACAAGAATATATGAAAGGGTCGTGAACAAACTTGAAAAATGGATCAACAAACTTTAAAAGTGGATTCTCCTTTAAGGGATGGAAAAAAAGGGAAACCATGAGTTTCCCCTTGTAGCCTGGCAGAGTTTCAGTCTGGAAGGGGCTGCTTGGGGCTGGAGGAGCAGGAGGAGGGTGATCAGGCAGGGGGTGCTATATGCACGTGCATGTGCACACATGCATGTGGCAGCCAGACAGCATGGAGAGCAACTCCCTGCAAGTAAGTTTTATGGGGTGGAGCGGGTGCACAGACTGTCAGGGGGGCATGTAGGGCACACGTCCCCTCAGATTTATGCACCCACCTTGCTGCCACCACCGCTGCCACCTCTATGCCAGCCACACCGGCAGCAGTGTGAGGAGTAATGGATGGGAAGAGGGAGCTGTGCTGCCCTCAACTCATGTCACCAGCTGCTCACATGCTGGGATGTGCCTATACCATGCCACCATGGCCTGGCTGCTGCTCCCCTCAGGCCATGCTCTGCCCTGGAGGAGAGGTGGGGTGGCAGGTAGTGCAGGCAACCTAAGAGGAGTGGCAGCAACAGTAGCAACCAGTCCTTGGCAGCGGGGTAGAGCTGTAGCTTGGCACACAAGTGGCTGTCGGCAGGAGGAGGTGAGGGCAGCACAGCACCTGCCTCCCACATCTGTTACTCCTCACATGGCTGGCATAGGGGTGGCAGCAATGAGTCTCACTGCCCCACTCTGTCCTCCTGCACTGGGTCCCACACAATGGGCTGCAGAAGCAGCTCCTGCCCATGCCGGACTAGCCAGGCTGCAGGCCCTGTGCCTGCTGTGGATGCACGAATGTGTGTGGGGTGGGGGGGGAGGGGACGGACATACCCTACAACCCTCTCTGCCACACATAGGGGTGTTGGGGCCAGTGGGTTAGGAGTGAGGGGCACCAGCAGGGCCAGGGGTTTGTTTTCTGCTTAAACTATTTACTAAGTCAGGACTGGACATCAGTGTTTACAAATAGGTCCTGGTACAAAAAGGTTGAGAACCACTGCTGTAGAGGTTCTGTGTACTTGGTGCATCAGGATTGTGCATCAGGGACCAAGTGACTGCAGGACTTAGTAACGGGCTGCAGACTTGTGCATCTCCAGGGCAGGGACTGGCTCTAAATTCAGCCTCAGTATGTAGCAAGCCAAAGTTGTCACGAGACTCGGATCCCATCCCATGTCCATGTTGCACCAAACATCTCCACCTGGAGTAACTGCGTGGGCAGCCACAGCAGAGAGGCTGAGCACTGGGTGCACTGTAGAGGAGGAGTGACTAAATGGGCTTCCTTTTCTGGGCTGGTCAGGCCAGCTCTGGTTCCCCATATGCAGCTGGAAGCCTTGACACATCTCTTCCTTTCTTTCCCTCCCTAGCAAAAGACGAAGCAACCACAGCAGGCAAAAGAATGCAGTCACTATCCCTGAACAAGTAAGCCCAGGCCACGCTAAAGGAGGAAATGCCAGGGAACTGTGCCTGGTGCCTGCCAGAGACTCTGTCGTGTCGCCTACCATAGATGCCACGTAGGGTGTACTGCGGCATCGAAGTCACTTTCACCTCCAAGAGACACTGATGATGTGTTTGTCTTCATCTTGGCACAGAATTCCATTTGGGGCTAGGGGGGCAGCTGCTACTTTGGGGGCAGAACCGCGCTGAACAGCAATTCTCTGTGTAACCGTTTGGAAACCTGAATGTTTTTAGGATTTGGAGCATAGGTGGGGGCAGGGCAGGGGGTGCCAGGGGAGGGGGAATGCTTCTGACATTAGACTGCAAGGACTAGACCATGGGATTGGGGGGCTGAGGAGAGCCCCAGGGCCAGGTCTGCATCTCCAAGATCCATTTCTGCGAACGGCCCATGAAATTGAGCTGCAGAAAGTTGCAAGACTAGTCTGGGAGCTGACTTCATGGCTGATCCTTCTGGAGATCTCTTCATCCCCATCTCCATCCCTTTTTCCCTCCCCAGCCCCCCCTCTCCCTCCTCTGATTTTGGTTTTCTGTTTGGTTTTTGGGGGGTTTTTTGGTGTTTCCCCCCTCCTCTGACTAGGGATAGTGTCAGCAGCTTTTAATCACACCCTCCTTTGTTTAAAAAAGAACTTTCATTGACTCTGATGCCCAGGTAACTCCCTCCCCACCCCGAAGCTCAATAAATTGAAAAGAAACTTGTATATTTGGCTGATTAAAATTTAAATTATCGTAAGCACTTGGTCCTTGTCTTCTGTGCACAGCGCTCAACGATGGGGAGTCTCTGGGTCTGTGCAACATGTGCACTTGATACTTACCTCTGGCTTGGCCATAACACATGCTAGCCAGAAACAGCAGTGTGTGGAGCCGGGAGTGGTTGCAGGATAGCAATAAGGCATACGGGAAAGTGACCAGCAATGGGTGGATTCATGTCTGTCACTTGACCAGCATCACGTAGGACCTCAGTGGCTGAGGCACGAGTAGAGTGTAGTTCTCTAGGACCTCCAACTGCCTTCCCCAGATGATGCTGCTTGCTTCACTCACTCCTCATCCCACACACCCTCCAGTCTGCAGCAAAAGAAGAAATCTGCGGCCAGCAATCACTTGCACCGCACAGCCCTGCCTTGTCCCCCTGCCTCCCAAGGCATAGATCCAAGGAGGCCACAGTAAGGATGCACCAGGCTTTGCAACCCTACTGTGCTCCTTGAGTGCAGCCCTTGGTCTGGGATTATACCCATGAATGAAAAGACAAAGCCACTGGGGTTCAGTGGAGAATCCACTCTATTGGTTCTCTAAGCGATGTATGACCAGCATAGGCTTTTTATAAAAATTGGGGTAAAAACCCTGGTATTTCCTTTGTGCTCCCGAGCATGTGGGGAGTGCCAGGGCCCGCGTTGCCACCCGGGGAACGCACGGTGGTTGTCTGCAAAGGAAGCGGGTGGGGGTGGCATAGCTGAGCGGGATGGGCAGCGCCGGAGAAGCCTTTCCCAGTGGCTCCATCACTTGATCTTGAGATCCTTCAGAGCAGACTCCAGACTCTGCAAAGGGAGGGGGAGGTGATAGCTAGTGAAATCCGTTCTCAGTGGGAGGCAGGCAGCCAGGCCACCCACAGGCCATTAGCACCTGCCTTGTTCCTCCAGCTCACCCCCTCCAGGTCTTTAATGCTTGTTGGCCTCTGTCTGTTACTGTCCAGTGATCCAGCTGCATTCAAGCAGGCCAGCCCCTTAGCAGGGGCACATCACTAACATCACAAAGGTGCTTAGTGGTTGGTTAATCCTGTGCAGGCAGGGACAGGTGCCATGAAGATGAGCACCTGTGTGTTATGGTGACGTGGGCGCTACCAGAGGCTGTGGCAACCAGGTGGAGAGCCAGGCCAGGCTGCATGGGGCTCCCGGTGGCTTAGGTTTGAGTCCTCTGCTACTCCTACCTCTGAGAGCCAGCAGGGGGCACTCACTGTCTGCAGCATCCCATCACCCTCCAACCTATGGCCCTGTCCTAAATTGTCTTAATCCCAGCCAAGAGACTTCCCCCTTCCCCCAGCTTCTGCAACCAGATGCACCCCAGATGAAGGGGGAGCTTTCGAGGCCTAATGGCCTGTACGTTGCCCGACAGAGACCGTGTCACCCCACCTTGGACACAGGTACCAGACAGAATGGGGACAAGGTGGGGTTGCACCAGTTGCATGCCGGATGGGGGATGAAGTGCCCCTTCCCCAAGTGTCACTCTCTGCTGTGGGATGGGAAGGGGTTGGTGGGCTGAGAACCTGTGCGAGGTGGTGCTGACTCGTGTCTGGAGCTGGCTCGACCCCCCTGCCCAGGGCAGGGGGATGGCAATGTCTATTAGAGAGCAACTCTTAATTGTGTCTTCTCATGTGCGACCAGCTGTTGTGGGAGCCAGACGTGGCTGGGATGGTTTAGTCAAGGGTGATCCTGTAGCCTTAAAGCAGGGAGGCCAGCAGAGGCTCCTTGTCCATGCCCAGGCAAAGTGTCCCTGCTCACGCCAGCAGTGGAGAAGGGAGGCTGAGCTGGACTCTTCTCTTTCTCTGCTGTGTAAAGCCACGTGGCCCCAGCAAAGGCGAGCGCACTGCTGGGATGGAGGGCAGCGCCTGGTCTTCTCAACCTGGTTTCAGGAGGAGCCCAGCACCCCCAACCTTCCTCCCACACCCAAACCTGCCACGGCCTCTCCTCTGCACCGCAGTGCCGGCTTACCTTGAGATCCCAGAGGCCCATCCCACCGTCCATTCCCGTGGTACAGAACTGGGAGCACTTGGCTTTGCCGCCAGCAAGCACGGAGATCTGGCTAGAAAGGCCAAGAAAGCATCGGAGTCAGCCTGAGGCCAGCAAGAGGGGGCTTGCAACAGGACAGGCCCTTTCTAAGTAGGGATGGTGCCAGGCTAGTTATACCGTGGGGGTCTTTCACAGCCTGTGTGAGCCAGACCCCACAGCAGTGAAGCTGAGGGCTGCAGGGGACCTACGAACCCCAATGTGCTGCCTTCAGCAGTGGAGGCCAGACAAGACCATTGCCCATCAAGCAAACAAGACCTCACTTGTCCTAGCAGAAGACCAGGCAGGGAGCCCCAGCTGCTCTTTGCTGCCCCTTCCACCCCCTGCCGGGCCTGTATTGGCCAGGAGCAGCCCCAGGGGGTGGTTCTTTGGACCATCCTTGATGGCAAGACAGAGTCCACAGCTGGGGCTGGTTTGGACACAGCTCGGGGCTCCCCAGTCACCTGGTCAACCAGCACCCTTCAGCCGACACGAACCTGATGCTGTTTTTGTGCAGCGTCTCCAGGGTCACGTTGTTGGTATCAGAGCTGGCTTTCTTGTCCAGGTTCTGGAAGCGCTCGCGGGCACTCAGGCCACGTTGGGAGCTCTGCTTGGGGACATCCAGCTTCCCACCAAAGCTCAGCGCTCCCTGGCCCTCATCATAGGTGTAGAGAATGGGGTAGCAGTCGTGGCCCTGGGGGGACACAGCACCAAGCTCCAGTCGCAGCCACCGGGTGTGAAGGCAGGCACACGGTGGCCCAGCCCCAGCCCTGCACTTACCGCAGCCACCAGGCTGTTCTCGGTGATGAAGGTGACAGCCAGGAGAGGCAGCATCTCCGTGTACAGGGCGGCCACGCTATGGGGGAGAGGAGGTGAGAGACATCAGCACAGCTCAGCCAGTGCCCTGGGCAGTCCCCTCGTAACCCCATTCGCAAGCTGGCCAGGCTCTGCCAGCAGGGCCTGTGCTGCTTGCCCATCGTGTCCCACAGCACCACGGCAGGATGACAGTCAGTGCAGTGGCTTAAGCCGGCCACCTCCCCCCTGGCTGTGACACAGAGGGGTCTCCTGCCTTTCAGGCCCCAACTTAGTGCAACACGACTTGCTCAGGTTCCAAGCCGTCCTCACCCAGGGGGAGGTTGCCAGCTGCCCTGGGCTCTCGGAGCCACCTTGCACTCCCAGTGCCAGTGGCAGCCCCCATGTAGCCTGGAGCTCAGTCACCGCTGGGGTCTCCAAGCTCCTTCCCAGGCTGCTTTCTCCCAAACCCACTGTGGCTTGACCTGCGCATGTGGCCAAACAAGGTGCTTAGCTGCAGCTTGGTGACCCCCCCCCACCCCGACACACCTCCCTGCAGCTGCAGCTCCCAACCCAGCTACTGCCAGTGTAGCCAAGGCCCCTTGACCAAGCCCTCGCACCCAGCCCATGCAGCCAGGGGTGTTCCCAGGCCTGCGAGCAGAGCTTCCTGTTGGCAACCTGGCTGCTGCTAGGCAGGGGACTATGTGCCCCCACCGTATATCAGCAGTGAAATGCTCCTACCACCTTCAACATCCCCCGCACAGCACTTGAAGCAGGGGAACAACCCCAGCCCCTGCTGAGCACCCAGAAGAGAACCATGATGTCCGCCCTCCTGGGTTCCCACTTACGCCATTTTCTTGTTGGCATCTGCCAGGCAGAGGGTGCTGTCGTGGCTGACCCATGCCACGCGGTTGCCGCTGGCAGAGAAGCAGATGCTGTGGACCCAGCCACAGCTGTTACTTGACTCAAACATCAGCTCCCCAAAGGGCATCTTGGAGCCCCAGGGAGTGGGGGCTGGCCGCTCCTCCACCTCCTTGATGTAGGCTGAGAAAATCCTGCAGAGAAAGCAAAGCGTGGGTGTGGAAGGTGAACCACGGGGGCTGGGAGCAGATGCCGCGGGCTGGGCACTGCAGGACAGGCCAGGAGACGGGGCTCCTCTTCTTGACTGCTTCTGGGAGCGGTGATGCCCTGTGAGCTCTGTGCCTGGGACACCCAGAGAAGTGTTGCGTCTCATGGGCAAAGGAGCCATGTCCTTCCCCCCCCAGGCATGGCTCTCTCTTTTCTGGTGGTGACCAGGCCAGTGGACTGGGCTCCAGCCCAGGAAGGAACACGACATTGGTGCTTCCTGCCAGGGGACCAAAGCTGGCTCCGAGAGAGCTGTAGAGCAGCCCCTTGCCCGTGCCGCAGCCCCCAGCTTCTCAGCTGAGCTCAGCACATGATTATATTGTGCCTGGGGCTGCTCACACGTCACTCTCACGCAGAAGGCTGAGCTGCCTGCCCAGAAGACACGTGGTCCACCAGGAACCGAGGGATGTCTGTCCCCTGCAGGCTGTGGTGGTCCAAGCTGGGAGACCATTTCAAGACAGGGAAATGAGTCTTACGTGACATTTCTCAAGGAAAAACTGGGTGACAGTGGAGGGAAGCAGGTGTGTGAAGCCCCAGTACCCGGCTGGGCTAGAACCAAGCCTGCAGCACACAACTCGCCATGTACAGAGGGGAAGACGGACTCCAAGCAGACACAGCAAGAGCTCAGCAGCCCCTCCAGTCCTCATGAGGCCTGTCTCAAACCCATCCCTGCTCACCGCTGTGGCTCAAGGGCGCTCAGTTACCTGCACTTGAAGTCGCAGGAACCAGCAGCCAGCAGCACGTTGTTGGGGTGCCAATCCAGGCTGAGCACAGTGGAGCGAATGGACTTCTTGATGTGCTTGCAGACCCACCTGGGAGAGGACAAGCCAGCAACACTCAGAGACAGGCCGAGTTGCCCCCCTTCCAGCCCCACCTGCTCCCAGCCAGACCCCTGGGGCCAGGCTGAGGCGAATGGGGAGCAGGTGGGACTCACCAGTCATTCTCCTGCTCAAAGTAGCAGATGGAGATGAGGCGAGATCCACTGCCCACGGCAAACTTGTTCTCCTTGGGGGACCACTTGACGCAGCGGGCAGCGCGGTTGATGCGCAGGATGACCAGGGTGGGCTTCCACACGTTGCCCTTCAGGGTCCACACGTAGGCGTTGCGGTCTGTCCCGCACGTCACCAGCCGATTGCTCTCGGGGGCCCAGTCGATGCCTGAAATCCCCATGTGAAGTGAGTGGGAAGCCCCAGCTGTGTAAAGGGCACCTCCCAGCCTTGGCAGCTCTGACTCTACCCCCAGCCCCCTCCGCACCCTCTGCTCACAGGGAGAAGTGTTGTCTCAGGTGCGTTAGGCACTAGGACCCATCTGACCAGCTACTCCTCCCACCATGGCTATCAGGGAGCATCCCCACCACTCCTGCCCCCTTTCAAAGCCTCCTTCAGCCTCCATCCAGAAGTTTGGTTCCCCACCCAGGACCACATCGGACCTGGGGTTACACTCTGTCATAAAGCCCAAACCTCCTGGAGTGACCCGGCTCCTGCTAGAGCCTCTGGGGTGGAGGGAGGGAGTCACACTCCAGGGTCAGGCCTATTTTGCCCCCTTCCAGTCACAGAGGGGGCTGGATGCTGTTCCCACTGGGGACAGCGACTGCCGCACCACACATCCCTCTCTGAGGCCGTGATAGGCCCCCATTAGACTGCCCCCCCACACCTGTCAGGCTTGAATGACCGCTTGAGGCCAAACCTCTTGGTAGGAACACCCCTTCCTCCCTAAACCCCTCTCCATTTATACCCAGGGATGCCCAGGGATCAGCTCATACTCCCTCCATGCCTGTCTTGCTGCTTTGCACCCAGTCTGTACAGGAAACCCTGTGTCCACCAGTGAAATGCAGCCACCTCTGGGGGCTGGAGAGCTAAAAGGAACCACCTGACAGCAGCATAACAGTTCAGCCCAGGGAGGGTGAAAAAGACCTGAGTTTTGGGAACTCAGGGGGAATTTCATTGGTAACCACTAGTTAATGCCCCCTGCCCCCCAGTCTCCCTCTGAGAAGGGGCTGCCCCCACCCCCACTCCAGGCCCAGGACAGGGCTCAGTCCAGTGTAGCTGGTTGCTGGCTGATTCCAGGGAGGAGGCACCTCTGGCCCAGGGCTCACCTGTCACCTGCCCATTGTGCTCCTTCAGCTCATGGACCTTAGTCCACTTGGCTCCGTCCTTCTTGTAGATGTGGACCTCATGGTTGTTAGGGCAGAGGGCGATCTCTGTGGGGAGCAGCAGTGTTAGCAGGCAGGGCACCAGGAAGGAGAGGAGAGGGGAGAGGGCTAGCTGAGAGCACAGGGCCTTGAGATGGCCAGGAATGGCCCCTTGGTGTTCGCCAGGCTGGGGTCATGGCAGGAGAGGCCAGTCTAAGCTTCAGGGTGTTGAAGCCCAGGAAGGCAGAGCCTTAGCCCTGCTCGTGTACTAGCTTGTGCCACCCTGCAGCCCACTGCCAGAGGCTGAGACCCCGAGCAGCTGGCGCAGCCATGCAACCAGAGCAGCCACTTTTGCACAACACCAGCCACTCCTCTTGCTCAGCCTCACAGCGCTGGTGCCAGCTCCAGCCCTGCCTGCACTTTGAGTCCTGACCCCAGCGCCGCTGCACACAGCTAGTTGCTGTGGAGTCTCCCGTTAGGGGGAGGCGCAGTCGTGCTTGCTTGCTGGGCAGATGCTGGAGGATGGGACTGACGGCAGTGTGTGTGTGTGTGTGTGTGTCTGTGACAGTGTGTGAGCACATGCCTGAATGTGTGGGCGTGCCAATGTGTCTGAGAGAGTGGGAGTGTAAAAGTGCGCATCTGAGAGCATGTGAGAATGTGTGAGACAGCATGTGCGTGAGTGCATACGTGTGTGTGCATGTGTGTGTATGAGCATGTGTGACTGTCTCGGAGTGTGTGTAAGCAAGAGAGAGTGAGAGTGTGTGAAAGCATGCAAGCGCATGTGTGTGTGTATATATGAGTGTGAGAGAGCATGTGCATGTGTCAGAGTGTGCGCGTGTGTGTGACAGAGGAGAGAGTGTGTATGTGTATGTGTGAGACAGAAAAAGTGTGTGTATGAGAGTATGAGAGTGCATATGGATGTGTGTGCATGGCAGCGTGTGTGAGAGCATGTGTGTGTGCCCCAGAGTGTGCGCGTAAGAGAGAGAGTAAGAAGGGGGGGGTGCATGTGTGCGTGCGCGTGCGCATGTGTGTGCAGGCACTGTGGGGTAAATCTTGCCCATAGGACCTCCGCACAGGGCAGCCGAGTTTATCAAGGGACGAGGGGGCCTCGATTCAAGCAGGGTGCTTGGGCTCCTCGTGGCTGTGGGGACCTACCGCACAAAGGGAAGTGGCAGTGAGCAGGGAGCAGGCAGCCGAGTGGGAAAGATCCCAGCTGAGCCGCACTGGGACAGGATCCCCCAGGCCCCACACCCACTCTCCATGCCCCCCAGCCCTCCCTCGGTGCCCCCCACTCCTCCATGTGCTGCCCCCCGCCCTGATTTTCAGCTGGGGGAGAAACTGGCTGTGCAGCATGTTGCTCGGGGCAGGCAGGCACTGCCCAGCCAGAGCACGAGCTGTTGGCTGGGATGCTCGCTGCGGGATTCCCCTGAAAAACACTGCCCCCCGCAACCCAAGGGTGCTCCCAGACGGCCCCAGCCAAGCCGGCCCGTCACTGGCTCCCTCCCTCCTGGCAGAGAATGCCCCTTTTGTTCTGGGAGCTGCTCCCTGCTCGCTGCAGCCTTCTCATATCCTCTGCCCCAGCCCTGGGCATCGGCTCAGCCGGAGAGGAGGAAGCGCCGCTCCCAATGAATCACTGCACAGGAGCTCTGCTTTTCGCCGGGGCTCTGAACAGAGACGTGCTGTTCCCTGTGATCCCACCAGCCACACAGCACCGGGCAAGGCGCCAGAGCTGACTGCCACCGAGGCTGGGCCTCCCAGGCCCTGGGGCTCCTCTCTATCCAGGCAGCTGGGCTTCCTCCACCCCAGGCCTCCCAGCTGGGAGAGAAGGGGTAATGGGAGCCTTCTGGACCCACTCCCCAGATGTATCCCCCAAGGGCTTCATCGTCTGTCTGGCCCTATTTGGAGACGGGAGCAGAGTAAATCCCAGGATCCCAATCCCCAGACAGTGTGGGGGTCCAGAAACGGGAGCTTCTCCTCTCTAAGAGCCCTTGACCCCAACATTGAGGTGCTGCAGCCATGGGCAGGGAGCTTGTGTTGCAGGCCCAGATTTAGGGTGAGATCGGCAGCGATTCAGGGGTTCCCCTTCAGGAGAAGCACCAGGAGTTAGCCATAGGTCTAGCCAGCGTGGAGCTGCCCCACGGGAAGACTGCAGGAGAGGAGCATCTGAGATAAACCTATCTAGTGGGACAGAGGGGAAAATCAGGTAGTGGAGGGGAACAAGGCAGGGGGAGGGCATCTCACAACCCCTACACACGCTGGGACAGAGGGACACTTAATGCTCAGACCACTGCCCATGCTGCTCTCTCCGCTCCAGCAGCCCCCAGGGGGATGGAGGGCAGGGGATGGGCAGACTTACGGGTCCTGTCCTTGTTCCAAGCATGGCAGCTGATGGGCTCAAGCAGGAAGCTGTGGTAAGCCATGGCTCTGCAACTGGAAGGCAAGAGAGAGAGCACAGCTCAGCACGGACAGGTTCAGTGCTGTCCCCACTGCCTCCACCTCTGCCCCAGGCTCTGCGATGCCCCTCAGCTCTGAGCTGTAGCCCTCCCCACACTGCCCAGCTGGAGCCCCCTCCACGTATTCCAGCACTGCCTGTTCTCCCCAGCCAGCAAGCCTGGGACCAGCACTACCCCTTGCTGCTCTGATACTAAACAGCACTCAAGCAGAGCCAAGTAGCCCTGCCCTGCATAGCATTTGGTCATGGAGGCATGGTGGCTTGGAGCTAGAATAATGCCCCACCAGGCATCCCTCGCTAACCTCAATGGCGAGACCCCAACACGTCCCACGCACCCCCCTCTCCCTCTCCAGTCAGCATGCCTACCCACATCATAAAAATCATAGAAAATGAAGGCTGGAAGGGACCTCAGGAGGTCACATCTAGTCCAACTCCCAGCTCAAAGCAGGATCAGTCCCAACTAGATAATCCCAGCCAAGGGCTTTGTTGAGTCAGGTCTTAAACGCCTCCAAGGACGGAGATTTCACCGCATCTCCAGGTAACGTTTCCGGTGCATCAACACCGTCCCTAGTGAGAAAGTTTTTCCTAATATCCAATCTAAACCTCCCTTGCTGCAACTTGAGACCATTGCTCCTTGTTCAGTGAGAACAATCCAGCTCCATTTTCTTTCAACCCCCCCTTCAGGCAGTTAAATTCCCCCTCAGTCTTCTCTTCTCCAGACTAAATAAGCCCAGCTCCCTCAGCCTTTCCTCATAAGTCATGTCCCCCAGCCACTGAACCATTGTTGTTGCCCTCTGATGGACTCTCTCCAATTTGTCCACATCCCTTCTGCAGTGGGGGGCCCAAAACTGAACACAGGGCTCCAGCTGTGGCCTTACTAGTGTGGAATAGAGGAGAAGAATCACCTCCCTCGTCCTGCTGGCAATGCTCCTACTACCAACGCAGCCCAGGATGCCATTAGTCATCTCGGCAACAAGGGCACATTGTTGGCTCATATTCAGCTTATTGTCTACTGTCATCCCAAGGTCCTTTTCTGCAGAGCTGCTGCCCAGCCAGTCAACCCCAGCCTGTACTGGTGCATGGGATTGTTCTGTCCTAAGTGCAGGACTTTGCACTTGTCCTTGTTCAACCTCATGAGATTTCTTTTGGTCCAGTCCTCTAATTTGTTGGTTTCTCTGAGTCCTAGCCCTACCCTCCAGCATAGCTACTACTCCCCCAGCTTGGTGTCATCCACAAATTTGCTGAGGGTGCACTCTATGCCATCTTCCAGACTGTTAATGAAAATACTGAACAAAACCAGCCCCAGGACCAAACCCTGGGGCACTCCACATAATACCAGCTGCCAACTTGACATCAAGCCATTGATCACTATTCATTGAACCCAACAATCCAGCCAGTTTTCTATCCGTCTTACAGTCTATTCATCAAACCCATACTTCCTTAGCTTGCTTGCAAGAATGTTGTGGGAGACCGTATCAAAAGCCTTGCTAAAGTGCCTCTCCACGGATGGCCGTTCTGCCCCTGGAGTATCCTCTTAACCCTCAGACTTGTTGCCTCTCAGGCAAACTCCCCTCCCTCATCTGCCATACCTTGTTTAGTTCTAGAAAACAGGCAGCTGCCCCAGGGCTTCCCAAACCTGATCTTGCCTTAAGGGCTAACTGCATGGCTCCGTCCGTCCCTACACCACATCTCATACCTCGCAGGTGTTGTTACTCACTGATGTTGTCAAGCCCTTCCTGGGCCATGGGCTGCCAGCCCCAGTCCTCACCCCTCCTGGACAATGGGCTCCTTGGCCCCTTGTTCCCCGGCTGTGTCCCTCAGACTTTGAGCCCTCTCTAGGCCCTGGCCCTGCTCTTAGGCCACATGAGACTCCTAGGCTCCTCCGGCCCCACCAGTCTCCAGCTGCGGCCCCGCTCTTGGCCTTCAGCCCCTCTATGGGCCTTGGCCCCACGCCTGGGCCAGTGAGACCTTCAGGTTCCCAGGCCCTGTTCAAAATTGCCCCTCTTGGGCTATTGAGGGGTGACCCACTGCCCTCTCTCTGGGCTCAGGCCTTTGTGGCCCCACGACTTCTGGGCCCTCTGGCCCCACACTCTGCCCCTACTTGTGCTCCAGGATCCTCAGCTCCAACTCTCCAGAGTTTACCCCCAGCTCAGATATTAAGGCAGGAGCCCTGATGCAGACCTGTTGCCTGGAGCTCGGCACTCACCGCCTCCCTGCTCCCCCCAGCTCAGGCCTGGGGCTTGCATGCCTCCAGCCCAGCCCTTTCTGGTCAGGAGCTTTACTAATCAGCCTCTGCCACACCTGCAGGCTGCTTCTCAAGCAACCTCCCTGCTCTTAAAGTGACAGACCTCAAGTCTCTGGGGCTTATTGGTGAGGAAAAGGAATCCTAAGTCCTTCAATCACCTTTTGCCCCTTCAAAACCCCTGGGCTAGGTCACTGCCAGCCAGCCTGTCACATCGTCTACGTCCTTTCTGTATTGGGGGGGGGGCCAAAACGGGGCCCATGACACCGGACACTCGTAGGAGGCAGCACCAGCACATAATGCTCATATAGTCCATTCAAAGACTCCCCACATGCTTTTGGCTGGGGTGAGGGGAGGAGAGGGGAATCTCCGAGCACCATTACAGCAACCTTTGCTAGGAGGAGGGCAGACCGCTAGGAGCCGCCTGAGGCATGTGGGGTAGACGCATGGCAGTAAGGTGACCGGCCAGGCCCGGTTTCTTCCTGAAAGGACAAAATCATTTCTCTCAGTTGCCTTTGCAAATCCCCCTAGAATGGCCCTTTGGCACCAACCTGCCGCACTCAGAGCATTTCAAGGAAGCAACAGGGCCTTGATAACCCTCACAAAAAGGAAGCTGGCTCCAACCATTAAGGGACTTTCTAATCACTTATTAACATTCTGGCACCAGTTCTGCTCTGGAGGAGAAGAGCCCCAGCCCACAAGAACATGTGTTCAGGCTCTATAGGAAGGGTGTGGGAGCGGACTCAAGCAGGCTGAGCAAGAAGTCACTTGTGAGCTCCGTTCTGGTTTTATGAGTGCATCGGGCTGCCCACAAAGATCAACTTTATTATTATTGCTTCTGGGTTTTCCAGCCGCTCTTGGCATTCCAGGCACTGCCCCCTCAAGCCAGGCCTGGCATGGACCACTACGAAGAGGACGACAACCAGCAGCAGGTGGCAGGAGATGAAGCAGGAGGAACAAGACCAGGTTAGGGAGGACTTCTGGGTTTTGGGTGTCTGGAAGCAAAACATCAGGGAAGCGAGAAGGGCCCACGGGAAGAGAATTCCTCCAGAAGTCAGAGCATGTCCCACCGAATGGGCTCATCTTATAGCTACCAGCTGCTAGTCTTGGTTCCTGGGAACGTCTGCGTCACGCTGGTGGGGGGGTGAGCTTGAAATGGTTCTCTTGATGTGCATAAACATCCTGTATGGGCAGCAGGCCTAGGCCTCTCATGGACTGGGACTGAGGCTCATGACTTGCTTCATCACGAGATGAACCCATCCAGGAGCTAACTGGGCTTGGCGGTGCATTCAGTACTCACCACAGACCTCCTGCCCTGCTCTGCCTCTCCCCTGGAGAACAGAACAGCTGGCTGCCCCGAGCCCACCCGACCCTGCTGTGTCTGCGCCTTCCCCTGGGGAGCTCAGGCCAGCTCCTTCTCATGCTTCACATTCTTGAGATGCTGCTGCTGCAGCTGAACAAGAGTGAGATCAAAGGAACAGCGGCCGCCCTGGGAAGGGGGCAGCTTGGAGTGCATTGGGAACAGCCTGTGCCATCTGGATGTCATTAGGATGGCAAGGCACTACTCACTTCATGGCTGGCAACACTGGTCTGCCGCTACAAGCCACAGCAGATTCCTATGGGCACCCAGGAGACCGAGTGCTGTCTATCCCGTTACCGGTACCCATGCCACCAATCACCTTCCAGAATCAACCTTAATATCCCCCTAGCACCCTGCATTGGTGCCACAGTACACACCACACCAAAGCATCTCTGTACACAGCACCTCCACGGACTAGCACAGCAAGATGTACCAGCTGGGGCTGCCTGGAAGGATACCTATTTTATGGCCGACTTAGACATCAGAGGGATGTGAATCAGAATGCGACTCTGTTCTGTTCCTGGATCAGCCATAGGCCTGCTTGATCTTGGGCATGTTACTTCACTTCTCCATTAGTCAATCGGGTTTAACAAAGCTGACTTCCGCTATAAAGTAACAGTAATGACCCCAAGTCCTGAGTTCCTCTGAGCACCCTAAACAAAGCAGAGGCTGCCGTTAAGGGGTGGTTAGGAGGTGTCTGCCTGCGCTTTGAGACGCCTGCTTCAAAACATCAACCAAGACCTAACCCAGTGGTTCTCAGCTATTTTAGACTCAAGGCATTCCTCATTAGCAGGGATCCTGGTTTCCTCTGATTTAAAAAAAAATCCCAATTTTCAGTTTAAAAAGACTCCTACAAGGTGTCCCCAAATCTACATTTTTCCATTATTAAAATGAAACACCACTACACACACACACACACACACACACACACACGGCGTTTCATTTAAATATCATGGAAAAATGTAGATTTGGGGTTGGGTTTTTTATAAACTGAAAACTGGAGATTTTTTTTAAATCAGAGAAAACCAGGATCCCTGCTCATTAGAGTTAAGCACCTCTTAGACAATGGCAGCTTTTAGCTGTCACTTGTGTTTTGGCTACAAAAGAACAGGGAAGCAATTCCCCGGTTGCAAAGAGCTCTGAAAGACCACGACAGGTCAGAACGGCTTTAACACCATGGATACCTATCTGAAATCTCTTTTTATTTTGAGACTCATGTGCACCTAATAGTGCTAATACTTTCATAGTTTCATAGTTTCTAGGGTCAGAAGGGACTTGAGAAGATCATCTAGTCCGACCCCCTGCCATGGCAGGAAGAGCACTGGGGTTAAACGACCCCAGCAAGGTGTTCATCTAACCTCTTCTTAAAACCCCTAGGGTAAGAGCCTGCACCACCTCCTTTGGAAGTTGGTTCCAGACCCTAGCCGCCCTGACCATGAAATGGCGCCTTCTGATGTCTAACCTAAACCTACCCTCTGCTAGCTTGTGACCATTGTTTCTGGTCACTCCTGGCTGTGCTTGGGGGAACAGTGACTCCCCCAATGCCTGCTGATCCCCCCTGACCAGTTTGTAACAGGCCACAAGATCCCCCCTCAGCCTTCTCTTGTGGAGGCTGAACAGGTTCAGGTCCCGTAGTCTCTCCTCGTAGGGCCTGCCCTGCTGTCTCCTGATCATGCGAGTGGCCTCCTCTGGATCCTCTCTATGCTGTCCACATCCCTCCTGAAGTGCAGCGCCCAGAACTATCAGAACGGCACCCCATGGCACCCTTAAAAGGATCTCCATGCACCCTGGTTGAGAATCACCGATCAAAGCTCTCTAGGGGAAAACAATCAACCAAGCTTGTCTCAGCAAGTCATCTCATCACATAGCAGAAACGCTTGCTGTCATTGCTCTTCCTTTCAGGGAACCTGGTCGGCGTGGAGGTGTGGCCAAGAGAAACGAGAAGTCACCACCCTCTTCCTCCAGAAAGCATCCTGCCGACACATTTGAACAGCGTGCAGCTTGTTGGCCTGTTGACACTTCAGTTTGGTTCTTCTACCCATCCCCTTCCTCCTATTGAGAAACCTCCAGCTCTTGTGGTTGAAATATTTTCTTCTCCCCACCTCCACTTAGAAAGCAAGCTGCTTTTCTATGCAGAGCCCGGCGGTACATTCAAACCCCATGCAGCTCATGACTAATAACTTCCACCCGCTTAGCTCACTATTGGCTTTTGCCACTGTGCAGAAGTCATCATGAAAGCACTGTGGCAATGCAGCTTGCAGCACTCGGAAAACAGGGGCCAGGAGGGACAGGCTGATTATTACAGACACTCTTTTGTTAACTCAGGCTATCGTCTTCAGTGGCGCTTTGGCCAAAAGGGGGAAGGAAGCAGGATGGTTTCATGTGCTGGCCTGGGTTGCCCTTGGAGGCAGTTTGAATCTAAAAGGTGCATAACTTTTGGATGGTGCTCACAGGGCCTCTTGAGCCACCCCTGGGTGTGGCGGGCAGGATATTAAGTGCAGAGTTTGTTCTTTGTTGGTTTTGGAGGCAACGACCTTGCCCACTTTTTGACAGCTCTGAGTGCTGAGGAGGGAAGGAAAAAAAAGGCTCTAATAACAGATCTCAGGCTCACAGGCCTGTGAAGAGCAGAAGAAAGACAGCCTCATGAGTAGGATGTTGCCAAAACCACCGTCTAGTGGCTTGAATCCTAGCAAAGTGTATGTCCATACGACATCACGTACAGCCTACTCACTTCTTAAGTGGCTGCCTTGTCCAGGCCCAAGCTCCAAGAGCCTGATTGCTGCAGAGCTGATATGACTTTGAGACTGTGGAGAACAGGGGAGTTCGTATAGCTGAGCAGACCACTGATCCGGCTAATCCTGTCCCCTGCCTCAATCTACACTTAACACTGGATGATTCACACACAGGTATAAAACCCCATTAGAAACTTAATAGTGCAGTACCATCCCTCCAAGGGAAAATGCAGTCCTGACCTCAGCTGGTCCTCAACTTACGCCCTAAAGCATGCAGGTTAACAGCCCTTGTGATTTATATTAGCTGGTCGGTACAGACAGTATTCTTAGTTATACAAATGTCATCCTTTTTTGTTATTATTTTTAAGGCCGGTGACGGTATCTGGGGGTATCGAGTGGATTTCTCTACCACTGCAGCTGCCATCAAAAGCCTGGATCAGACTGTACAGTGGTCACTACCACAGCGTGATGCAAGCACCACAAAACATGTGTTTGCAGCTGTGAGATGCTCAGGGAGCAGCCTGGAGGGGGCATAGGGAGGCGCATCTGCATAGAATTGGCTGCAAAGAGGAGTCTGCTGGGAGGAGAAAGCTCACATACAACTAACCAGCACATACTGCTCCAGAGAGAAGGGCAGGGGAGGAGAAAGCATTTAGAGCCACTATTTCAATTATTTTTAAGTGACTTGCAAAGGGAGAAAAAGGGGAGTTTTTTCTGTCTCCTTTCTTTTTGATGCTTCAAGATGATCTGAGAAGTTTAAAAAAACCCATCAGCATGGGGAGGAGGTTGTTTTATTATTTTTAGCCTGGAAATACCAAGTGTTTTCTTCCACTGTTTGTGAAAGAACTTACTGAACCATTTGCATTTAAGCCATGAATTGAAGGGCTGGGCACCGAAGAGTTTGAGGGAGAGTGCGCGAGCACATGTTCACGCTTCATTCCAGCTGTTGTTAGAGAGCAACTATTAAATTGCTGTTAATAACCTGCAACAAGGTTTACACAAATTAAATAATCTCATCCTGCCTTCGTTTGTGTTCCCCTCGCATTGGCAGTGCATTTTACAGCCCCCCTGGCTCTCCCCGTCCTCCACTGAGCACACAAGATCTCAAGCTGTATGTAACATGAGGAAGAAGTAGGAACCATATAACCAAAACTGAGCTTTCCAGCCACCTCTGCATGCAATAAAGCAGCAGAAAATAATGGCCCTATGCAATGATTTCCCTGTGGGTGGGCACCTTTACTTCTGAACTACCATTGAACTAGCTGGTGCTGAAGCTGCTTCATTACAGCCCTCGACCCAGCAGATCCTGCCTCTCTCCAGGAGAAAACCACGGAAGTTTACAACCTTCGCATGCTGGGGAATGCCAAGAGAAGAGGATCTCCAGAGCTGATATGACTCAGATATCTTCCTCTGGGACTCCTTTTCTGGTCAGGCTTGAGGCCCTCACTGATTAAAAATCATCCTGGGAGAGAGAGTAGCACTGGCTGGAGCTGAGCGGCTGGCGACTCCTGATCTAGGCTGAGGAAGTTGCTCAATGGAAGGAGCCTCCATGCGATTGCTGCGTGCGGGGCTGGAGTCCGTCATGGTGCAAGTGCTGGATCCGCACCTCTGCACTGCCACCTCCCCTGGAGCGGGTGCCCTGGCTCTGCAGGAAGTCGTGAGCAGCATGTAGGAGCGTCAGATACTATTTTACCTTCCCTGCCCCCATGCTGAGCAGCAAGGTCTGTCCTGCCCCCAACTCCATAGCTCACTCACCTGTAGGCAGCTATAACAGGGGGATGGATGGAGGCTATGTCGGAGTAGGTAGAAGCCACGATCTCTCCAGTCCTTATCAACACTGCCCTTTAAATTGGCAGGGGCAGTTGCCATTAAGTACCTCAAGCCCTTGCTCCCCTGCGGGGGTAAGGCTGCCCACTCTGACAGACTGCTTCAGTCGTGGGACAAAAACCCCAAGGCTGAAAATCAGACCTCAAATCCATCCCAGAGGCTCCTGTCCCAGTCCAGGGTTGGGACACCGCACTGCAGGTCTCTACCTGACTCCTGCTGCCCCGGCCGGAGAAGGCAGACCTGCTCCCCTTAGCACTCTCCTACGTTCATAGCACGTCTGGCCTGGACACTGCCAGAAAGATACTATACCCCAGGGATCACCTAAGGAGGTGATCAGTCCTTTTCTGAGGTGGGGGGAATACACAGAAAACTTCAAGGCCCACATCCCGAAAAGGGACTCGGGTCCAAACTCCCATTAAGGACCTGGACTTATGTGACAGGGGAGACTGGAGACAATCGTGTCTCCCTAGGATTAGAGTTCACTTAGTCCCTTAGCAAGAAGGTGCCCATGACTTAAGTGCCCCCATAACACATCAGCAGGGTGAGGAGCCAGGGCAGGGGGCAGAGGAAGACACTTGGTTGGGTGAAAATGGCTCAGGAGTCTCAAGCTTCCTCTTCCTTACCCCAATGCCTGACCAAAGTCATCCCCCCTCCCCAGGCTCCCAGCTCTGGGGCTGCCTGCTCCAGCAAGGTTCATCCTGAGGAAACCTGCCATGAAGAAGAACTTTCTGCCTGGCTAATGACTTGTACTTCCCAAAGCAAATCCTGCTGTGCTTGTGCTCAGCAGCAAACCCAGACCCACAAAGCCTAGTGCCCAGCAGATCAGCATGTTGCCCACCAGCCCACCTGCGTCAGCTGCTAAGGGAGCATACAGGACGGAGCTCATACCCTGCACCTGCATCCCAGATGGCTTGTGACCCCCTAACACGCCTAGCATCCAAAGAGGAATCGTTCCGGTCCTTTTGGACAAAGCCGGAGCACCCCGAGCCTGGGGGCACAGACTGCCCTGCATCCTGAACTGCATCAAAAGGCAGTGCTGGGATCAAAAGGGAAAGCCAAAGAGGGGAAGAAAAAAGCCAGTCAGGGGCTCCAGTTCTCCTCTCACCTACAGCAGGGCCTAAAGCAGAAGTAACTCTGCGAGTTCGACAACGTGATGCCAGCCCCAGGCAGCGAGCGGGCTGCGGGCGCAGGGAGGGGGCCCCAGATAAAAACCTGGGAGCGGGAGCCAGGAGACGGGATGTGTCATGCCGCACGACGCTTGCACTCGTCTCCGGAGAAGCCTGGCTGGGGACCCTTCCACATCAGCTGAGCTTTCAGGCCTCCCACAAAACTAACACAGCCTGGGAGAACCGGGGAGGTGCAGGGGGAAAATGAGCTCTGAGAAGCGATGGCTGCAAAGCAAAAGGGGACAAGCCAATATCAGGCAGGAAGTTTGTTCCCAGCCCAGCGCTGCTGCTGTATTAAGCAAATACAGGAACAAAGATTTTGTTCTTCTGGGGGCACCACCCCAGGGGTCGAATGTGCTGCCAGCAGCTCTGCTAGGGGCACTGGCTTCCTACTCCCTTGGAAAAGGAAAAAAAATAAAAAAATCAAACCCTGACAACTCACCTTCACAGGGAGAGGAGGAAGGCGGGGGGAAGGGGTCCTGTCTCCAGGGGCCAGCTGGTTCGCGGACTCTGGGCAGTCGACACGAACGGCAGCTGAGCCAGCCCCGAATGAAAGGCAGAAGTTGAGCTCGCTGTCTGAAGTCGTCCCACTTCCCTTTTCCTCTCTGAGAAGTCTAACCACTTCCTTGCGTGGGCGTTGGGGAACTGCAGCGAGCAGCACAGGCTGCCTCCAGCAGCAGCAACCGCCTCTGAAAGGCTCGGTCTGTGTGCGCGAGCCCTGGCCCTGCTTTCCAGGCCTGTTTGTGAGGCTTGGCGGCCGACACGTGGAAACGCTAGAGCCTGGGAAAGGAAAGGCTTCCCTCACTACAGCTTGGGAGATGCCCCTGTAACTCAGGGTCCACATCTGGCCAAAACCTGCTGGATCGGAGGGACCTGGATTCAGACAGAGACTGGAAGACCGAAGGGCTGGGGCACAGAAAGGCAGACGGATGACAAAGAAAGGATTTGTCCTCTTCTCTCTGCAGTTTGACAGTACCCAGTGCAGGAGAGACGGGCTCGTAGCTGAGTCGTGGACATGCTCAGGCCCCAGCATCCTGGGGTTGTGTGCCTCAAGGAGCAGGACCACTCGCAGGTGAAGCCACCCATATCCGTGCAGGCTGGATCAGACCCCAGCTCCTCTCATGTAGTGAGCATGTCACTTTTTTTTATTTCGCCTACTGAACAAAACCTCTTTGCCCTGGCGCCCAGCCTGGTCTTGCTACACTGGTGTGACTTGAGAGCCCTCTGCATAGTGCTCATGAGCTGGCAGGGAGGAAGGGAGAGGTAAGTGGACGTGAGCATCCAGAACTCCTGGGTTCCCAGCTTTGCCTGGGGACATGGGTTAAAGGCCCCAGCAGAGAGGGGCCTGACTCCCCCCTCACCGCCAAAAGCAGCTCCAGTGAGGTCAGGGGTATTATGCTGGTGTTAAGACTGCTGCAAGCGAGATCAAAATCAGACTTCTCCTTACTCCACAGGGGCATCACCCTCCTAGTACTCTCCCAGCCTGGAAGGGGAGCTGGGACACTGGTAAAACACAGCTACATTATGTAAGGTCTAGAGTCATGGAGGAATTATCCTTCAGCCTGGGGCCTGAGCCAGGGACACAGGACAAGTGGCTTGTGTTCCTCTCAGCTTTTTCAGTCCAGCCCTACCCCAGCACTGCTTAAGGCAGCCATGAAGGCTGTCCCACCTCGGCATCCAGCAGCCATGACCTCTCCAGTCCTTGGGACACCAGAAAAGCCAGCATGTAGGGACAGCACAGGCTTGGCCTGCTCTGGAGCAGCCCCAGGCTGGTGGCAGGGGGGTGAAGGGGAAGATGTGGAGGAACAATTCTCAAGAAGCATCTTGTGGTCTCTGCTGATACTGTAGTGTAAAGTAGCCACAGGACGAAAGCAACCCCCACCTCCTCCCCTGCTGCTTTTAGGATATAATTGGCATGCAAAGTCATTAAAAGTCATGCACAAACCCCCATCCCCACCCCACCACCTCCAGCAGCCACTTGGCCCGACCAGAGCTCTACGCCCCTCTGCAACAGTCATTGCAAGGAGTAAAAGCAGCATAGGAAACAGCTTCCTCCCATGCTCTGGCCCCCGTCAGTGCCAGCCCAGGAACCCTGGACTCCCGAACTCCGGTCTCTGGAGGAAAACAGCTTGCAGTTGTGTTCCACGTCTGGAGCAAGATTAGCGGACGTTGGCTCTAACTCTTTAAAGGGATGCTCTCAATTTGCACATTTTGAAGCCAACCAGCTGAAAGAGCAGTATACTTGGGCAGTCTGCTCTTTTAAGGATGGTTGAGGCCTACAGTTCCTTCCAAGCCCCCTTTCATTAGCATATAATGGATTTAAAACAGCTTTCATCATAATACAGGAGGGGGTTCCTCTGACCCCACCTCCCTTCCTCCTTAAATCGTCTCTTCTTTCCTTCTTAAATTGTCTAGCAAGTGAAAAGCCATCAGAGTGTGGTCAAAGGCACAAAATAACACACTGACAGGATTTTCTGCTCACTCCTACAACATGCATTCCCAAAGCAGTCTCTACCAAAGTGTCCACAGCCAGTCTGTGTAATGCTGTATAGCACTGGTTGGTTTTCAACCTTTCTTCATTTGCAGAACCCTAAAACATTTCAAATGGAGGTGCAGACCCCTTTGAATTGTAAGTGTAGGTATTTACATACTTCTGGTTGATCAGTCATCTTTAATGGACCCCTTTGACATAGCCTGCAGACCCCAAGGGTCCATGGATCACAGGCTGAAAACCACTGCCAAGCATTAATTGCCATGGGCACTGCCAGAGGGGGGATGAACATGCTGAAATGATGGCATGGATGTCCTTACCAGAGTGTCCTGACTGCTTCCCCATTTCATTCATCTCTGCCCCCTCCAGCAGATTCCCAGCTGAACCCAACAGCACAGTGCCTGCAGGAGGCATGGAGCACTGCAGCAGCCTAAGCTGTGGGGACGCCACCTCTGTAGCCCCCACGACAGAAGGATAGCTCCAAGACTAGCCTGGCAGCAGGCCCCCCTGTTTCAGATGCACATAACTGACCTGGCTACATGGGCTGGGAGAATGCAAAACCTTCCTAGACGTGCTGGCAGCTGCCCCACTCCTCACCACCTGATTTGGTTTGTAATGCAAGACCACCCAGGCCAACAGATACTTCAAGACCAAGAGCTGTAGTTCACCTGTTTCATGCCCTCAAACCTCACGCTGTCCTGCTGGTAGCTAGAAGCTGCTGTTCCTCAGCTGTGCTGCTCCGAGCTGTTGTCTGGGGAGCCCCATCCTGAACATGACTATCCGTAAGCTGACTCCCTTTCCTTGCAACCAGAGCATCTCAGGCCACAGGAATAGTGCAGCTAATCACTGGTCACGGGGGACCTGAGAAAGAGAGCAGGTTTATTCCAGCGCCAGACAGGAGGCTCTCCCCTGTATGCCCGTGTTTAAGAACACCCGTCTGCCTGTAACAACATTTCAGCATGTTTCAGTGCTGCCCGGTCATGGCTGAGAACAAATGACAGGTCAGCTTCATTTCTGCAGCAAGGAACCTCTCTCTCAAAAGTAGCAGAGCTAAGAATATCACCCTGTACAGTTCCCTATCTGCTATTGCACTTCCTCATTGCTTCTGATCATGACTGGGTTCCTGCTATGCTTCTTCAGCTCTTTTGCAACTCACAAGGACAGAAAACAGTCACTGCCGCACATGCACGGCTCCTGGAGCAACCTGGTGTTTCTCCAGAGTATCATGACGCTGTCTACCTTGCAGGAGAGTAAGTGGGGGTTGCTAGCAGAGGGGATTGGTACCAGGGCTCCTGGGGTCTAGTCCCAGCTCTGCCATTGACCCACTGCGTGCATCTTGGCCAAACTACTTAGCTGCTCTGGCTCCGTTCCCTCAGCCCAGCCTAACCCCAGTAAAATGGAGCGTGAATGCTGTTCCCATAGTAGGGCTCGCACCTCAATTATACAGGGCAAGCTACAAGCATGTATCACATGTGCAGCGTGCTGTTTGCTTCCAGAGGCAGCAAGGCATCAGCTTTCCTCAACACCACCCCGATTCCTTCCCTCTTCACGTGCCTAGCGGTGGTTACAATCAGGCAGGGCCAATTTGCTGGCTCTAGCTGCCTAAACTTTGATGGGCACTTCTCCAGAGCTTAATACAATGCTCAGAGGAAGGCTCAGACCCCTGCAGCCTGTTCAGCCCCAAGCAGATGATCACGCCTGAGCTATCATATCCATCATCTGATTGCACCTTGAGATACCTTTACTCTTGGTTCTACTGTAGTTGTGCTTAGGAGGCCCAAGACCTCTTTGTTTTAGGTAAGAAAATAGAACAGACTGCCCAGGCCCGGGCCCAACATAATGAGATGTTTGGGCATGTAGCCAGGATGCCTGAAGAGCAGGCAGGAAAAAGTTCACCCAGGAGAAAGTAATATATGAAAAGTTTCAGGAGAGAGGGTGATGGACAGAAGCCTGTGGAGGATGAGGACAGGAAAAGAAGATCCACATAAGCTGGAAGCCCACTCAGAAAGCAAGACCACAATGAAAGTGATCAGAATCTAAAATCATGGGCTCAATTTTAAGTTGTCATACCCCCTTGGCTCCATCCTCCGTTTTCAACATGCTGTAGTTCAAAGCCCTGTAATTTGATCAGCTGAATGCACAAGGCCCAGCCAACACTACAGCTCCTTCAGAGACCAAGAGCTCTTTCACAGAGTTGCTACAGGCAAAATCATAACGAAGCCAAAGCACTTTCCATTATAGCTGCAACAAATGGGTTACACGTGCAGGGAAAAGAGCCACTTGTTGAAAGTGGCTCAGCAGTTTTGCTTCAAGCCTGACTATAGCCTGCCTGATACTCATGCCTGTGCATAATGCAAGCAAGAGGAGATTGATTTACTGAAGGAAGCGGCACAGGACGTGGGGCAAGCTTGAGCAAATTAGGAGCATGAAGTCAAGATCAGGCTGCCTGTTCTAACAGCTCGGGACTCTTGCAGGAAGCAAGATGAAGGCTGTCTGCTCCTGATATTTGGCCCAACCATGTAACTGACTTCTTGTATAGTGGAAAGCAAATTGGATTTGAAATGACATTCTGCATGGCTGCATTAATCCCTACTGCAAGGAATCTCATGGAGATCCAAGTGAAAGGGGCTCAAGGCAGGTCACACACATCACTCAACTCACCTGACGTTCCACAGCCAACTGGCCGGGCTTTCTATTCCCATTTCAGGAAGGTATTCGCCAAGTAACAGCTTGAAATGCTGCAATTTCTCTGTGTCTGTTTATGCTCCTTGTGGATCCAGTTCCAGCTCAGGAAGAAGCACAGACAACTGAGCAGGATGCACACACAACCAGCTGACAATAAACCCACTGCAGCAGTATAGTCTTACAGCCAAAGTGGGGTGTAGGACAATAAGCTGATAAGATTGCTTGTTCCTTTATAAGTGGAGCTTGTTCAACAGAAGCACTGCTTTCTAGCTTTCCACTCTGCCTTCAGAGAATCTCTTTACACCCTTTCACCTGTGCCACCTATTTCTGAACCCTGGTGTCTGCTACAGCTTTTAGGAAAAGAGGGATAACATTTCCAGCAGCATCCAATGGGCTTGGGAAATTAAATCTCATTTTGCTATGCAGACACTGAAGCTTCTAAATCACCAGAACACTT